AAAAAAAGAGAGATATTCTTTTAAAAAAGGTAATAGTAATAGTTGTTGTTACTGAGTGCCTGTGGAGTCAGAAGTGACCCACAGTTGATCTTCCAAAATGTTTTCAGAGGCAGATAATTGTATGGGAAATTGTCCATCCTATTCCCTTGGAGTAGCTGGTGAGTAAAGCCATATTTGGGATTGCAGCACAGAGTTTTACCACTAGGTCACTAGAGCTATCGGCTCTTTAATATAGCCTAAAAAAATAAGTTTTCTCTACGATCTAGACCAAGAGTATGAATTTCCTATAGACACATACATACCACTAAGAAGTTCACCCTGTTCCTCTTCAGTGCAGGTACTGTTGACTACTCCTATGTGCCTTCACCTAACCCAACAATAAGTAGTCAAGAAAAGCTGGGAGGAAAAATTACACTACCTTCCTCTAACTTGAATGTCAATCAAACTAGATCATTTAGAGAAACTGGCATAGTCTTAAATCTCCTCCTTTAGGCTTGCCACAAACTTCTAGACACTTCCAGAACCACACAGTAGTGACGTGCACTGTTCTCTTGGCTGCCTTACACAGACTCTCTGGGAAGGCTTCTAGAGGCAAGCAGACGCAGGCACTTCCTCTCCAGGAAGCCTGCCAAAACAAAAGACTATTTCCAAATCCTGGGCCATCTGATGAGTCTAGAATTTTCTTACTGTTTAAACAGATTTTTTTCCATCATTTTCTTCACAAATAAATGTTATTGCTAAAAAATACAAACACTTTATACTGTTAACATAAGACTAATCACAAATGCTGTCTAAACTCTTAATTCTGATGACAGTCTTAATTTTGCCAAATAAATTATTTTTCACTGCTAAAATGTAGTCTGTCACTCATGTTTTTCATCATAATCCCACACAAAGAAGGTTAAAATATTTTTCTTCAAATAGTTGGAATTTTTATTTTAAAAACTACAGCTTATTTAAGAATTCATATTAGTAATCATATGAACACATACAGATTTGCCTTACATTATGGAGAAAATTAATTTTAGATTAGTTATTGTCATAGTTCAGTGCCGGCAAGTTGATTATGAGTCAGTGATCCTAAGAACAGATCTGAATCCGTCCTATCCTGTGCATTCTCATCAACTCATGTATTTGAGCCCACTGCTGCAGTCACTGTGTCAATCCACCAGGTTGAGGGTCTTCCTCTCTTTTACTTACTCTCCACCTTTCCAAGCATGATGTCCCTTTCCTAGGAATAGCCTTTTCTAGCAACGTGCACAAATTATGTGAGACAAAGCTTCATCAGCTTTGCCTCCAAAGAGCATTCTGGTTGTACTTTTTCTGAGACACATCTGTGTTTGTTTTTGGCAGTCCATGGTATATTCAGTACTCTTCTCCAATGTCTCAGCTCAAAAGCATTGACTCTTCTTCTATCATCCTTAGTCACTGTCCTGCTCTCAGATGCATAGCAAATGACTGAAAAGACCATGGTCTGAATGAGGGACACCTTAGTCTTCAAACTAAGTCTTGCTCCTCAGTAATCTGGAGAGGTCCCTGATAGCAGTTTTTCCCAATGCATGCAATACATCTCTGGATTTTCTGACTACTGGTAGGTACCAAAGGTTTTGATTAGATCCAAGTAAAATGAAATAGTTGACAATTCCAATCTTTTCTCCCATTGTGATGATGCCTATCAGTCCATAACTAATAAAATAATATAAAGCAGACAATACAAGAAAATTTATCAGATTTCCCCAAGAGGAAAATTCCTAAACTTCTAAACAAACAAAATTTTATCAAGTCAATCAGTACATAAATACAAAAAAGAAATTTAAAATTTATAAATGCAAGAAAACTATAAATGACAAAATAGAACTCCGTAATTAAACTTATTGAATGAGTTCATACAAATCACTATGGAAACTACTAATATGCTATTAGATTTGTTGTTGTTGTTATGTGCAGTTGAGTAGTTTGCGACTCATAGCGACCCTATGCACAACAGCTCTAAACCCTGCTCTATCCTGCGCCAACCTCACTGCCTCTGACACACCCATCCCAATTACCCCAGTCACCGAATCAATCCATCTCACAGAGGGTCTTCCCCTCCTGCGCCATCCCTCCACCCTCCCAAGCATGATGTCCCTCTCCAAGGACCCATCCCTCCAGGCAACATGTCCAAAGTATGTCAGAC